GGGGGGGGGTGGGGGGGGGAGGTTCACCAATCGGCGGGGAACTCCGGGGTGTGGGGCTTGGGCTTGCGGATTGCTCAGAGTTGTCAATTGCGGACACAGCGGCACAGATTTCGGGGGTGAAAGGTTGATGGCATTGCGGTTGAATCAGGGGCCTCAAGTATCGGCGCAGGTTGGCCTAAGCTCCTAGAACCTGCACACACATGCACACACACACACACAGCCTGAACCTTGAATTCCTACAGCCACTAGACACCTAAGCCGCTGCAAGTAACACTTCTAAACCTCTTTTTGAGATCCGTGATCCCCTAAACTCCCGCCTAAACCCTAAACCCTAAACCTTAAACCCTGAACGGATTGCCCCCTAAACCCTAAACCCCAAACCCTAAACCCCTAACCCCTAAACCCTAAACCCTAAACCCTAAACCCTAAACCCTAAACCCTAAACCCTAAACCGCACTCAAGACTCCTGGAGGTCCACCGCTGCTCGATGGGCGACGCCGCAGCGATGCCCTTCTTCTCAATCACCTCCTTCCTTAGGATCCAAGCTTGGGTTTAGGGTTTAGGGTTTAGGGTTTAGGGTTTAGGGTTTAGGGTTTAGGGTAACCTTCCTGAGGATCCAAGCTTGGGCTTGGCGGCTTAGGGTTTAAGGTTTGATATTTAGGGGTTTAGGGGTTTAGGGGTTTAGGGGTTTAGGGGTTTAGGGGTTTAGGGGTTTAGGGGTTTAGGGGGTTTAGGGGGTTTAGGGGGTTAGGGGGTTTAGGGGGTTGGGGGGGGTTAGCGGGGTTTAGGGGGGTTTGGGGGTTTTTGGGGTTTAGGGGTTTAGTGGTTTAGGGGGTTAGGGGTTTAGGGGGTTTTAGGGGTTAGGGGTTTAGGGGTTTAGGGGTTTAGGGGGGTTAGGGGGGTTTTTAGGGTTTAGGGTTTAGGGTTTAGGGTTTAGGGTTTAGGGTTTAGGGTTTAGGGTTTAGGGTTTAGGGTAAGGGGTTTAGGGTTTAGGGTTTAGGGTTTAGGGTTTAGGGTTTAGGGTTTAGGGTTTAGGGTTTAGGGTTTAGGGTTTAGGGTTTAGGGTTTAGGGTTTCGGGGTTGGGGGTTTAGGGTTTAGGGTTTAGGGTTTAGGGTTTAGGGTTTAGGGTTTAGGGTTTAGGGTTTAGGGTTTAGGGTTTAGGGTTTAGGGTTTAGGGGTAGGGTTTAGGGGTTAGGGTTTAGGGTTTAGGGTTTAGGGTTTAGGGTTTAGGGTTTAGGGTTTAGGGTTTAGGGTTTAGGGTTTAGGGTTTAGGGTTTAGGGTTTAGGGTTTAGGGTTTAGGGTTTAGGGTTTAGGGTTTAGGGGTTAGGGGTTTAGGGGTGTAGGGGTTTAGGGGTTTAGGAGTTTAGGGTTAGGGGGTTTTTGGGGGTTTAGGGGTTTAGGGGTTTAGGGGTTTTAGGGGTTTAGGGGTTTAGGGGTTTAGGCCTTCTGGGGCTTCTGTGCACGGAAAGCCTCGGCCGCACCACAGCTAATGACAGCATTAAAAAAACAAAGACTGTTTTTTAGAGCCCAAAGAAAAAGTTTTTTGTTGTGAGCCACAAGCATCATTCAAAGGCAGTTTACGCAGCAAAGAAATGTTCTTGAAGTACGGGGGATAGGGCTCTCTGTGCCCATCACATTTGCAAACCCCATGCTCCGCATGACGGGTTTGGCATGTGATGCTCTTAAGAAAGTTGCAAACACAATGCTTGCATGACAGGTTTGGAACAATGCATAGGCTGTCTGCAGCAACTCCTATCAACGGCATGATGTTCTTAAACGCGACCTTGCTCGGCTCCTTGGTAGGGGATCAAAAAAAGATTTGGGAGCATCAAAAAATAGTTTGCTTTTCCGTGGTCAAGAATAGATATTTGAGAACAAAACTTCGAAGCGGCTTGGCAAGGCTTCATAAAAGCGAGGGGGTCGGAGGCACCCATTTGCAAACCAATGCCGGTACAACGCTGGTATGACTGACTTGGAAGAACTCAGACGCCTTTTGAAGCAGGTCGCCGCAATAACATGATGTGGGTAGTTCTTCGAAATTACCCAAGGGCCCATACTTGAGAAGCCTGTAAAAAATAAGAGTTTAGGGTGTAGGGTTTTGGGTTTAGGGTTTAGGATTTAGGGTTTAGGTTTAGGGTTTAGGGTTAGTTTCCCTGCCCCCTCCGGTTCAAGTCCTTCCTGGGGCGAGATGGGGGTTTACGATTGTAGGGGTACCTTCTTGGGTTAGGGTTTAGAGCTTAGGGTTGGGGTTTAGAGTTCCGAGATTTGGGGTACCTTCTTGGGCTCCTACTATTTGGGGGGGGGGGGGGTCTCTTTGGGGCGTCCCTCATGATCGTAAACCCTCAGATGGGTCCAAACCTGCTTGAGAACCGCTGCGCATCATCTTCAGGCGGCTGGTCCTGCTTTCTGTATTAGGTTGCCCAGTAACCTAGGATTGAAAAGGGTGCCCTTTTTGGCCCTTAAAGTAGGTTTACAAGGGAACCTCGACCCCCTAAAGAGGGAGTAAGGGTACTACGGGGCATCCGAGTGTATGCAGCTCTCATGCGTTTATGTTCACAGCTCACGTGAGCGACATGCACTGCTGAACGTGTGTTGCCGCCAAGGGTCATCTCCTTCACATAGCGGATGTCAGCCAGCGTTGGCTCGTCGATGGTTCCGCACGGGAAGCAGTTCTCAAGAACCCACTGCCTAGGCTTCGGGGAGCTTGGGGATTAGGATTGTGTTGCGAAGGGTTTAGGATTTGGGGTTTGGGTTTCGGGTTTAGGGTTTATAAGGTTTATAGGGTTTATAGGGTTTACATGGTTTAGGTTTTCTGTTTGTTATTTTTTTTGGGGGGGGGGTTAAGCTAGGCTTTGCGGCTTAGACTCTAGGGCGTGTGTAGGGTGCAAGGCTGAAGGTTTGGCTAAGCAAAATCAGAGCGGGCTGCGAGTGCAAGTGCTGACAGAGTTCAGTGCTACAGGTTTCGGGCTCTCGGTGCAAACATCTCTATCACCTTCCTTCCCCCCACCCACTCTAGAAACCCCTAAAACCACCAAACCCTAGAAGCCCGCCAAAGCCCTCGTGCACCCTGAAAAACCTGTTACTCTCCCTCAAGCCTCTCTCCGCCCCCCATCGCAAAAATGTATATGAATAAAAATGGTACATACATATAGGTAGATGTAGATAGATAGACAGAAAGAAAGATAGGTATAGGTTTACATGTTTTACAAACCCCTAAAGCCCCCAAAAGCCCTCCAAAGCCCCTACCAAAAAAAATGAACCCTGAACCCCAAACCCTAAACCCTAGACAAAAAAAAACCTGAACCTGAACCCCAAACCCCAAACCCCAAACCCCAAACCCTAAACCCTAAACCCCAAACAGCCCCAAACCCTACCACCCACCCACCCCTCCCAAAAAAAAATTGAGGACCTAAGTATTATTTTTGCCCCCCCCCCTGCCAAGGCCGGGCCGCGCGCCCCCGCACTCGAAGCCCAGGATCTCCGTGGAGTCGGCGATGCGCTCGCCGGCGGAGCGCCGCCAGAACTCGGCCTCCGCCCGGTTCACCTCCCAGGTCTTTTGGGGGCCTTTTTGGGGGGTGGGGGGGGGGGGGTTAAGCCTTTAGGAGCTTTTTACGGGCCTTTTGTAGGGCCTTTTTGGCGCGCACTCGCTCCCCAGGGCTTTCTTACACTGGGGCTTCCGGGCCCCTTAACCCCTAGACTTGGCAACACTCCAAACTGTAGATCCTGAAACCCTACACCTCCAGACCTTGAAAACACCGTAATGGCCCTAAAAAAGCCTTAAAGAGATCTTTAAAGGCCCTAGAAAGGCCCTAAAAAGGCCTTAGAGAAGGCCTGAAAGAACCTCCAAAAAGCCCTCAAAAGGCACCTACGCGAGCCTAAACGACCCTAAAAAGGCCCCCAAAAAACCCTAGAGAAGCCGTAAATAGACCCCTAAAAAGACCCAATAAAGACACCAAAAACCCAAAAAAGGTCCCCTAAAACCCTAAACCCCCCAACCCCCCCCCCCCCCCACAAAAAAAAAAAAACGCTTAGGGCTTAGGGCTTAGGGCTTAGGGCTTAGGGCTTAGGGCTTCGGGCTTCGGGCTTCGGGCTTAGGGCGTAGGGCTTAGGGTTTACCCTGAGGTTGGGACGTCCTTGCTTGCACGAAGCTCTGATCGGACATCGTCAATCAGCTGATGAAGGTTGTCACGCTGCGAAATGACTGTTTGCAGAACACGTTGCTGTGCGTCCACAGCAGTGTGATTGATTGCAGCTCATCCAGAAATCCTCAAATGGCTCAACTGCGGCACCGACTCTCCTTCCTCCGGCCGCAAGAAGATTCCAGGCTCCTCCGCCACTGCTCCGACACTCGAGGAGCCCTCTGTCGTAGCCCCTGTTGTAGGCCTCCATTCTCACCCCCCATGCGGAGTCTCCACAGCTGAACCCAAGGCACTGGTGCGACACTGAAGTCTGTGGTGCAGCTCACGCAACTGCCGCCGAAGTGTCATTCAGAAACGACTATAGTCATTGGCCGAGGCAATCTGCGCAGGACTTCACTGGACTCTTTGCAAAGTCTGCATGCGCATGGTGGCATTATAGGTCCCAGGGGGCAGGGGGAACATCCCAACCCTGAGGCATGAAGCCCAATTCGGCATTCCGAAAGCAATGGAACCCTAAACAACCCTAAATTAACCCCAAACGACCCTAAGCAACCCTAAGCAACCCTAAACAACCATAAACGACCCTAAACGACCCTAAACGACCCTAAACAGTTAAACCCTCAGCCCTCAACCCGAAACCCTCAAACCTAAACCCTCAACCCTAAACCCTAAACCCTCAACCATAAACACTCAACCCTCAACCCTCAACCCTAAACCCTAAACCCCAAACCCTCCTCCCTCAACCCTCAACCCTCAAAACCCTAAACACTCAACCCTCAACCCTAAAGCTCCACAAACACCATGGCGGCCTTCGCCACGTGCTCCGGGTCTAAGGGGGCGAGCTCCAGCAGCCTCTGGGAAGCGCGGTCCCCCATGAAAGAAAGTAACAACAGCTGAGGATAGGGTTCAGGGCTTAGGGTTTGGAGTTTAGGGTTTAACTAGCATGGTGTGCTTACGGCAACTTATATGTGCGAATGTGCGCGTGTATATATATATATATATATCTCTCTCTCTCTCTCTCTCTCTCTCTCTCTCTCTCTCTCTTCTTATTTGTTATCTATTTATATTCATTTGTTATGCACTTCTTTGTATTCATATTTGATTGCACATTGAAAACTTTTGCCTATGCTGATTCCGTTACCTACATGTCTACTCTATCTTGTGACTGCCTCTCTCCAGAAACCTTCACAGCAACCCGACCGAGGCCCACGCCTTTCTCGCAGCTGCGCGAAGTTCTTGCCCTCCAAGTCCCCGCAGTCCTCGGGGTCCCTTAAAGGGCTACGCCTTCTGAATTCGGCTCTTTTTTGAGGGCCCGAAACCCTAAACCCCTAAACCCCTAAACCCCCTAAACCCCTAAACCCCTAAACCCCTCAGCCCCTAAGCCCCTAAGCCCCTAAACCCCCAAACCCCTAAACCCCTAAACCCCTAAACCCCTAAACCCCTAAACCCCTAAACCCCTAAACCCCTAACCCCTAAACCCTAAACCCTAAACCCTAAACCCGAACGCTAAACCATCCTAAGCCCTTAACCTAAACCGCTTGAGCTCATGGTAGGGTTGCGGGGGCTTGGTGGCTTCACCTGCTCAGCTACCATAAGTCAGCATGTCGTACCAGAAAAGCGTCTCCTTGTTCTGGCAACCCTATGCCCTAAAAACCCCCTTTTCGCAGCGCATGTTTCTAAGCAGCAACCCTAAACCCTAAACCCTAAACCCTAGACCCTAAACCGGGGCTCCAGGGCATCGGGACGCAACAGCGCGCCGGAGGGGCCCAGGGTTCACGGTTGGGGCTCAGAGGTTGAGGCCTGAAGGCTTGGGATTGAGGCGTTGGGAGGCTTAGAGGGTTTAGGGTTTTAGGGCTTAGGGGGGGGAGGTTCAAGGGGGGTATGTATCCCTACGGCTCCCTAAGCTTCCTTAAGGTTCCCTAGGCACCTACCCGCCATGAACCCCCTAAGAACCCCATGATCAGGACTTCGAGCCCAAGGTGCCTCCACCATGCTCTTCAGCAGCTCCTCCGCTCTTGCGTTGCAAAGCGCGCGTGGGGGGGGGGGGGTGGTCCGGGTGTACAGTTCGCTTAGGGCGCAACATGAAACCCTACACCCTGAATTCGAAGAAGCATACGAAACCCGAAGCCCTAAACCCTGAGAGTTCCTCAATCCGAAAATCGCAACCCCAAATGTCCTGAGCCCTATAAGCCCGGACCCGAAACCCGAAACCCGAAACCCGAAACCCGAAACCCTAAACCCTAAACCCTAAACCCTAGCATCTGCCAACAGCCAGCCTTCAGCGGTTCTACCCGCTGCTCTTCCGGAAGTGCTGGCTTGGCCTCACCAGCAGCGTGACGGAGGGTTTAGGGTTTAGGGTTTAGGGTTTAGGGTTTAGGGTTTAGGGTTTAGGGTTTAGGGTTTAGGGTTTAGGGTTTAGGGGTTCAGCGGTTCAGGAGTTCAGGGGTTTGGGGTTTGGGCTTTATGGTTTAGGGGTTTCGGGGTTTTAGGGTTTAGGGCTTAGGGTTTAGGGGGTGGGGTGGTGTCAGGATTTCAAGGCCCCTCCTTTTCGAGGCAATTCATCTGCAAACTTGGTGGGAGCTGACTGCTGGGCCAACACGTACATGCTGCGCTCCACACAAAGCTCATGCGGCTCCATTGAATGTAAAGTTCACGTCTTGTGATGGTTTGCATGCTTTGCACCCTCTTATTTCCAGGCCATCTCGATGCTTATCTGGCTGACGAGGGTCTCACATGGGCATCGCATGGTATCGTCTCTCGCGTGCAGCATTCGCCTAAGCCCAGAACCCTAACCCCGACACCCCAAACCCAAACCTGCCGGCTACCCCTCTCGCCTCTCAAGTGACCAAAGTGACCCAGGTGTACCGAATGTCCGAAATGTCCCACCCAAGCGTCCCCAAGTGACGATGTTCCACGTGTCTGAAGTGCCCCAAGTGGCCAAGGTCCCTTGAACATTGAAAGAGGACAACTGGAGCCATGGAGGACGATTTGAGCTTGCAAACCACGCTCGTTTTGAGTCGCGCTTGGGGTGGTCTTGGGGGCTGGGCACATACTACTGCGCCGCTCACCTGCACTTGCCGAGCACGTCCCTCAACCCCCAAACTCTCCCCAACCCTAAGCCCTAAACCCTGAACCCCAGACCCCTCCCTCCCTACATCTCCCCAACCCAGTCCCCAACCCCTAACCCCCAACCCCAAACCCCAAACCCCAAACCCAAACCCCCAAACCCTAGCCCTCCCTCAAAAAAAAGCAAAAACACGGCTCGGCGCCTCGGCGCCTGGCTCGGCGACGTCGGAGACCACCACGACGATGGTGTCGGTGTAGGGGACCCACATGTAGCCTCTCTTCCAAAGGTTTCCACCCATGTAGGGTTTGCCGGCGTAAGGTTAAAGATGCCCCAAAAAGGAGGTGTAGGGTTTAGGGTTTGGGGTTTAGCGTGTAGGGTTTAGGGTTTAGGGTTTAGGGTTTAGGGTTTAGGGATATCACCCCGAAGCGACGCCCAAAAGCCTAGACCCTAAACCGGCCAAGGGGCGGACGTGCCGGTAGGTCTGCAGCAGGCGCTTGTGATCCCGTTCCAGCTCCTCGTATGTCACGCAGTAGGTCCTCGGGCAGGAAAACAGGTTGGACAGCGTTTTTGGGGGCGGGTCTTGGCAACTTGCGGCTTGAAAACATGTTGGGTTTAGAGTTTAGGGTTTGGGGTGGGTTTCGGGTTTGGGGTTTTAGAGTTTAAGGGTGTTAGGCGTTTAGGGTTCTAGGGTTTTAAGGTTCTCGGGCTTTTGGGTTTTCAGGTTTTGAGGTTTAGGGTGGTAGGGTTTAGGGTTTAGGGTTCAGGGTGTAGGGTGTCAGCTGGTAGGCTGCAGGGCTTCCGGTAACCCTAAACCCTAAACCCTAAACATTAAACCCTAAACCCTAAACCCTAAACCCTAAACCGCCTCTCGTGGAGCGTGTAGCGCGGGATGACCTGCGCCAGGTGGGAGGTGAAAAGCTCTGAGGACGGAGGAAGGGGTTCCATGCCTTAGGGTGTTCGGGGATTCGAGCCTAAACCCTAAACCCTAAACTCTACACCCTAAACCCTAAACCCTAAACCCTGAACCCCGTCTCTACATGTATGGCTCCATTTGTTGAGTGGGGGGATGTCCCCTGACATGGCGTCCCCAAGCTGAAGAAACGACCTTGAGTGAAGGGCAGCTGTAGGTACTGTTTATGCAAGACTCTGACAAACAGGGTTAGGGCCTAGGGCTTAGGGTTTAGGGTTTGGGGTTTAGGCCCTTGGGGCTTTCAGGGTTTAAGGTTTTCAGGGTTTAGGGCGGGTTCAAGCTTCGTATAAGATTGAAATTTGGGAAACTGCCCGCCTCAAACGGCACCAGCCCTGCTAGACTTTGAAGGTTCATACACTTGCCTGATCCTTGCGCTGTGTGCCATGACTAACTAGTGCTTTGACTATCCTGCCTGCCTGATCCTTAAGCTCCAAACCCTAAACTCCTCAACTCTGAGAACCCCAAACCCGAGACCTTAAACCTAAAACCCTTTAACCCTGGAACCCTCATGCATAGGTGGTCAAGCTCGCAACTCCAATGCCGACTTTGTGGCAACAACCGCACCCGATGGAACAAGTCCAGTTCTCCGCGTCGACCATAGATAGTGCTTAGGGTTTTTTTCGGGTTTGGTGCTTGTTCTTCGTATTCTTATCATTATTGTTATTGTTGTTGTGGTTGTTGTTTTTACTTCGTGGAAAGCGGGGGCGGGGAGGCCGAGGTGTTAGGGTTTAAGGGTGTTGGGCATTTGACGAATTGAATGTGGTCGGTATGTAGTTGAGGGTTTAGGGCTTTTGTGGTATTTGGGGCATGTTGAAGGTATCCAAGGTGTTTGAGGTATTTACGGTGGTTGAAATATCTGGGGTATTTGGGGCACCTGTCGGGTAATTCGGCGCCCCAACTGCAAACACTGAGCTTCTCAACCCGAGAAGAGTACACGGAAGCCCTGAAAATCTTGACAGTAAGGTTTAGGGTTTAGGGATTGGGGTTTAGGGTTTAGGGTTTAGGGTTTAGGGTTTAGGGTTTAGGGTTTAGGGTTTAGGGTTTAGGGTTTAGGGTTTAGGGTTTAGGGTTTAGGGTTTAGGGTTTAGGGTTTAGGAATTATATTTAGGGTTTAGGGTTTAGGGTTTAGGGTTTGGCGTTTGGGGTTTAGGGTTTAGGGTTTTGGGGTTTAGGGTTTAGGGTTTAGGGTTTAGGGTTTAGGGTTTGGGCTCGGCCGGCCCTCCTTGAGCGTGAGCTCCTGCACGACGCCCAGGGTGCCCAGCCCAACACGAAGCCAGCGGAAGAGGGCGGGGTCCTGAACCCGAAAGCAGCTGAGGCATTTAGGGGTTTGGATTTAGGGTTTAGGGTTTAGGGCTTAGGGTTTCGGATGTCCGAAGTACCATTAACCCTGAACCCTCAACCCGAAACCCTAAACTTTTAACCCTAAACCCTAAACCCTGAATAACCCTCAGCCCCTATGTGCCGCAAATATAATCTCTTGGCATCCGTGCCAACAAAACAGAGCTCAGGGTTTAGCGTTTGGGGCTCAGGGCTTAGGGCTTATGGGGGCTTAGGGCATTAGGGCTTTGGGCATTAGGGCTTAGGGCATTAGGGCATTAGGGCTTAGGGCTTAGGTCTTAGGGCTTCGGCCCCTGTGTCAAAGACAAGCGTCCGCATCGTCAGCACCCACCCTGAGCACACCTCGACCAGGACAGGCCATCTGCATGGAGGTGATCATCTCCTTGCTCGCCCAGTCCAGAAATCATATTTCCAACAAGGGCACCCCTTTTTGGGGATGGTTACTTTATAAGGGAACCCAAAAAAAGGGTAAAGGGCACCCCTTTGTGGGGTTGGCTACTATATAAGGGCACCCAGAACTTCAAAAAAAATAAAAAGGGCACCCTTTTTTGGGGTTTGGCTACTTTATAAGGGCACCCAGAACTTTAAAAAAAAAGGTAAAGGGCACCACCTGGGCTACCAAGTCTCGTCCACGGGCGGGATGCGCGCCCCCGTCCCGTGGGCGCTCACCTGCGTCCAGCCAGCGGCCTGCTGCTCCTTAGAGGGAAGCAGAGCAGGATGCAGGGGTTCAGGGTTCAGGGTTCAGGGTTCAGGGTTTAGGGTTCAGGGTTCAGGGTTTAGGGTTTAGGGTCTAGGGTCTAGGGTTCAGGGTTTAGGGTTTAGGGTTCAGGGTTCAGGGTTCAGGGCTCAAGGTTCAGGGTTCAGGGTTTAGGGTTTAGGGTTTAGGGTCTAGGGTTCAGGGTTCAGGGTCTAGGGGTTTAGGGTTTAGGGTTTAGGGTACAGGGTTCGGGTTTAGGGTTTAGGGTTTAGGGTTTCGGGTTTAGGGTTTCAGGTTTAGGGTTTAGGGTTTCGGGTTTAAGGTTGCAGCTGTCACCTCTAGCCGATGCCTAATGTGTTGGAAGCAAGGGCTCGCAATACGCGGGGAAATGCGAGACCGGAGGTTACAGAAAAGACAGGGCCGCGATAGTCAGACATGCTCATGTGTTGGAAACCGGAAGCAGCACCCGCAAGTGCTAAAGCAAAGTCCTTGCCCTCAATCCCGTCAACCGAATCCCAAACCTTGAATCCTCAATCCCTAAACCCCTCAACCCTCCAAACCCGGAACCGTAAACCCTCCGAACCTTAAACCCTAAAACCTGAATCCCCACACCCTAAACCCCAAACCCTAGACCCCGAATCCCTAAACGGCCCTAAACCCTCAACACTAAACCCTCCAAACCCGAAACCCCACACCCCAAACCCCAAACCCTAAACCCCAAACCCCAAACCCTGAATCTCTAAACCTGCTTCTGGCTTCTGTGATGGAGCTGAAGTTCTCCAACGTCAGCCCATGCTTCTGCAGCTCCTTTTCTTTCGCAGGCAACGCCCGGGTGAGGCAGCTTCAAAGGCTTTTGAAGGGAGCTCGCCCTTCCAAGGGTTTAGGGTTTAGGGTTTAGGGTTTAGGGTTTAGGGTTTAGGGTTTAGGGTTTAGGGTTTAGGGTTTAGGGTTTAGGGCTTAGGGCTTCGGGTTTAGGATTTCTGAACAACTTAGGGGGGGATGTAGAGGGCATGTAGGGATGAACCAAGATGCCAAGGGTTTGCTTTGGGGTTTAGGGTATCCTAAACCCCAAACCTGAAGGGATCAGGGGGACCCCAAGCCCTGAAGCCCCTCCTGCAGGATCTGCGACACGCGGGCTCCGGCTTGCACCGTGATGGTCCCGGCCTCCTTGTCCACACCTGGGCGCGAGGGCGTTTTTGGAGAGTCTAGGGTTCACGAGCTTCGTCCTCCAAACCCCTAGACCCTTAAGTTTTGTGAGCGTAGGTTGGGCTGTTCCTCCCTTATACTAGCAGTCCTTTATCGTGATGAGAATAGGGGTGCTATTATCCCTAACCCTAAACCCTAAACCCTAAACCCTAAACCCTAAACCCTAAACCCTAAACCCTAAACCGTATAAGGGGGAACTTCCCAAGGTTTGTGCTCGAACCCGGCAGGCCGGGCCTTTGATGGCATCAAGCTCGCCCATGGACAGCATCCCACGCTCCTCCATCGCCAAGCCATTCCTCGGGCTCTTAAGGCCCCCGAGAGTTTTAGGGGGGGGGGGGGGGGGGTACCCTCAACCCTAAACCCTAAACCCTAGACCCTAAACCCTAAACCCTAAACCTAAACCCCAAACCCTGGGGTTTTTGGGGCTTCCGGGCCCCCCTTCCTTCCTTCCTGGGCTTGCGGCGGTCGCTGGTGCTGGCCAAAAGTGTGTCTGTTACCCACAGCCGGCTAGAGAATGAGACGAAAGAATCCCCATATGAAGTAGGGTATTCCCAACAGGACACCCAGTATATATATATATATATACACTCACCAATATTAACAAGGAACCTTACAGACACTCACCAAAAACAGAGAAAAAACAACAACAAAAAAACAAAAAACAACTTCATATGACCCGGAACAATCGTTAGGGCCCGTCTATCCCGCCACCCTGCTGCGCAGCTCTCTAAACGAGGCTCCCTTCTTGGGGAGGAATTTATGGTTGGGTTTCGGGTTTAGGGTTTAAGGTTAATGGTTAGTAGCCTTAAGGGTACCCATGAAAGAGACCACGGTTGAGAGAAGTGATTTTGTCTCGGACTTGTGGGATTTGTGGTTGAGTCAAGGGCTGGAGCAAACCCCTAAACACCCGGACAGCCCTAAACCCCAAAAGTGCTGAGCGCGTTGTGCGTTCGTGCCAAGCAGTGAACGAAGAATGCATGAAGTGGCGCTGAGCGTCGGCGACAGATTCATTCCCACCGGCCGCACCTTCGCAGGTCTTTGCGAATTTAGATGGCTGAGGGTTTAGGGTACCCTACACACGAAACCCTAAACTCTGAACCTTTAGCGTTCAAGGCCCTTGCCCTGATCCCGAAAACCCTTAGCCCCACAGCGAACCCTAAAATCCGAAACCCTTACCCTAACCCCAAAACCCACAAAATTCCTGAACAAAAGGAATACGACCCAGTTCCCGAAAGCACATAGACGCCGAAACCATGCAATCCTAAAACCCCCAACCCTAAAGCCCTAAAATCCCAAAACCCAAAACCCTCAACACTTGCTGCAACCCCTAAAACCCGAAAAAACTCTAAAACCCCAAAACCCTCAACACATGCTGTAACTCCAAAACCGAAAATCCTAAAACCCCAACACCCTCAACCCTTGCTGCTGGCTAAAATCCTAAAACCCCAAAAAGCCTCAACCCTTACTGTAACCCGAAGCCCTAAAACCTAGACCTAGACTCCCTGAACCCTACACCCCCTAAGCCCTAAAAACCCGAAAACCCCAACACCCTAAAGCCTTAAAGCTCTGAAGCCCCAAAGCCCTAAAGCCCCAAAGCCCTAAAGCCCCAAAGCCCCAACAAGCCCCAAACCCCTAAACTCCTGGGAGGGGACGGCCTTCTGTCGGTACCCTAAGCCCTAACCCTAAACCCCCTAAACCCTAAACTCAAAACTCAAAAAAACTAAACCCTAAAAGCCCTAAACTCCTGGGAGAACGCCTTCTGTCGGTTTTGTGTGGCCCACTGCAGCAGAAACCACAGCTGGTCCTTGGCTAGCAGTTCGTCGCCGCAAGCTCAAAAGGCGCAGCAAAGACTACCAAGGGTCTTTGGGGGAGTTTAGGGTTTAGGGTTTAGGGTTTCGGGTGTAGGGTTTAGGGTTTAGGAGGTTTAGGAGGTTTAGGAAGTTTAGGAGGTTTATAAGGTTTAGGAAGTTTAGGGTTTAGGACGCTTAGGAGGTTCAGGAGGTTTGGGAAGCTTGGGGTTTGGGTGTTTGGGGCTTGAGGTTTAGGGCTTGGGGTTTCGGCTACTGGGCTCCGGATAGTTTAGAATTCTGTCCAAGGTTAGAAAAATCGACTTCGAAAGTCTTGCAACGCACGGGCACATGCAAGAACGCAAAGAACGGCTAGGTCCTGAAACCCTCAAACCCAGAACAACCCTGAAAGCCACGGTCCCTAAACCCCTAAGTCCCTAAACACCCAAACCCTAAACCCCGGGGTTGAGCCCTAAAACCCTAAACCCTAAGCCCTCAAGTTGAGCCGTAGACCCTAAACCCTAAACCCTAAACCCTAAACCCTAAACCCTAAACCCTAAACCCTAAACCCTAAACCCTAAACCCTAAACCCTAAACCCTAAACCAATCCGGCAAGCCCGTCTGCTCAGAGGCTCCAAAGAGTCGGGGGACCAGACCCGGCCTCGTTGGCTGCAAGGACAACTAGGGCAGGGTTGAGGGTTTAGGGTTTAGGGTTCAGGGTTTAGGGTTTAGGGTTAGGAGATTAGGGTTTTAGGGTTTAGGGTTTTAGGCTTTTAGGGTTTAGGGTTTAGGGTCCAGGGTTTTAGGGCTCCAAGGGTTAAGGTTTTATGGTTTTCGAGGTTTAGGGGTGAGGGCTTAGGTTCCGCGTCCGGCCTCGTTGGCTGCAAGGGTCAGGGTTCAAGGGTCAAGGGTCAAGGGTTTAGGGTTTAGGGTTTAGGGGTCAGGGTTGAGGGCGATATAACGCCTTCCAAAGGTCAGGGAGGTTTTATGTGGCTTGGGGCGTTAGGAGGTGTAGGGGGATTAGGGCTTACGGCTTTTAGGGTGGGGGGTTAGGGGGTTTAAGGTTTAAGGTATTTAGGGTTTTTGGGTTTACGGCTTTTCGGGTTTAGGGAGCTAAGGTGAGGGCTGGGGGTTTATGGTTTAGGGTTTAGGGTTTACGGTATAGGGTTTGGGGTTCCAGCGTTACCCTGAGCCCTGACCCTGTCCCCACAAACCCTCCCCTAAACCCCCGCTGCATCCGAAAACCCTACAACCAAAAACCCAAAAACCGAGAACTCCAAACCCTGTATAAACCCTAAACCCTGTATAAGCATACACCCTACAGAAACCCAAAACCCCTAAACCCAACAGAAATTCCTGAACCCTACACAAGCCCCAAAACCACAAACAAATGCTAGGGTTTAGGGTCTAGGGTTCAGGGTTTAGGGTTTAAAACCCTAAACCTTCAAACCCCAAAGCCTCACGGATCCAACCTCCATGCGTCAGGGGCACGGACTTTCCTTTGGTGGGTGCCGCTCCTGGGGCTTTCGTTGCGTGGGTTTCGGCTTCAGACTTTAGGGTGTTTCGGGCTTCTAAGACGCTTAGGGCTTCTTGTTGTTGGGGTCACCCTAAACCCTAAACCCAAAACCCTAAACCCTAAACCCTAAACTGGAAAAAGGAGGCTCCAGTTCTGCATGTCGGCGTCATCTTCCGCCGCCACGTCCGGCATCTGGAAGGCACCTGAGAAGCAAGCGGCCGCTTCTAGGGGCGAAGGGTTTAGGGTTTAGGGTTTAGGATTTAGGGTTTATGGTTTAGGGTTTCGGGTTTCGGGTTTCGGGTTTAGGGTTTTGGGGTTTGGGGTTTGGGGTTTCGGGTTTAGGCTTTAGGGGCGAACGACGGGTCCCCCCGTAAGTTCACCCGCTGAGCCCTGAAACCTAAACACGATATCCTAGAACCCCCTGAGTTTCGGGCTTCGGGTTTGGGGACTAAACACTAAACCCCTCAAACCCCTAGATTTTAGAGCTTAGGGTTTAGGGTTTGGGGCCTCGGGTGCTAGGGGCACGGGACTCTAAACCCTAGACAATAAGGGAATAGTAACTGTACGTTTAAACCCATTGTGAACCACGTGGGTTAGTTCACACATACCTTGAACCCCCAAAGCCCAAAACGAAGCCTCGCTTGGGCTTTATCTTTGGTAGGGTGCACTTTGGAATGTAGCAACTTGCAAGCCCCTTAAGTGCCCGAATATGGTCATAAGCACAGTTATCCTAAAGCCTAAACCCTAAACCCAACACCCTAAACCCCATAAGTACAGCTATAATTGGATAGTAAGTACCAAAGCAGGGTTCGGGGCTAAGGGCGTGTAGAACACCATGATGCTGTTGAGAAGTGAAGGCATGGCCCCGGAAATAAGGGGTCAGAACCTCATTGCTTTGTAGGGTTTGGGAGACCCTAAACCCTAAACCCCAAACCCTAAACCCTAAACCCTAAACCCTGATTTCGGGCTTCAGGGAGGTTTGCTGTTGCGGAGGGGAAGGGCGTGAGGGCTCCAATGCACGGTCCATTCATGGGCCCTCCATCAAGATACAGCCCCCAGATGTTTAGGGCACAAACCCACCTTTGTTTAGGGTTTAGGGTTTAGGATTTAGGGATTAAAAGGAACATATTTTCGCAAAGCACTCAGCAAAGCAACTACAGCAGACTCAACATCAATTTTCTTTTAGAACGGTGATCATTATGTCATATGGGGCGTTCGGTGTTTGGCTCTCGGGTGGAGCGTGCCTAGGAGTTCAGCGCGTCTTGGCGGCTACTGGGCTGCGACTGAGATTTCTGAAGCTACAGACATGGGCCTCACCCCTACGCCCCTAGCCCTGACTGCTTAGGGTTTGAAGGCTTATGGGGTCTGGGGTTTAGGGCTTTAGGGGTTTTGGGCTTAGGGTTCTTTAGGGTTTAGGGTTGAAGGCTTAGGGCTGTTTTGCAGGTTTAGGGCTTAGGAGCAACCCTGCGCGCATCCTTCCCCCATTTTGCGAGGGCACAATGAGCTGCGAGTCCGGGCCCGGGCTGGAAACCCTGTGGCCAAGCCTCTAAACGATGGTCCCCTTTAGGGCTTACCCTAAACCCTAGACCCGAAACTAAACCCTAAACCCTAAACCCTAAACCCTAAACCCTAAACCCTAAACCTTCAACCTTAGGGCTCAGGGCCTAGGATCTCCGCGGCGCACGCGCAGCTGGAAGGGAACCCTCCCAGCAATCACGTCAAGGTCGGCCTCGGCGTCCCAGTCGAAGAGGCAGGCGCCGCTTCTGAACCCGAAGCTGTTCCTGAAGTCTCCAATGACCAAGGGAACAAAAAAAGGCTAAACTTTAATATTCCTACTAAATAAGGAACCCAAGAAGTTTGAAGTTCAACTCTTGGCGAAGTAAGATTCAGCTCGATGAGCCTCACCGACCGCGCGTCGGAATGTTCGTCCGCGTCCTCGCCCCAGGAGTTCCACGGCACCACGAGGTCGAGCACTGCGTGCCGAAGCCCGGCGCCCAGGAGGATGCGCTGCAGCTTGGACGCGTAGGCCCCGTGAAGCGCACGCCCGACGCGATCCAGCATCTGAATCAAGCTGGGATGGACGTCCTCTAGGGGATAGGATTAGGGGGACCCTTGGGGATATAGACCCTCTCTGAATAAGGTCCCTTGTTGCGAGAGCCAGAAGAGGGTTAAGAAGGGGTTCCTTTTTAAGGGTCCCCCTTATCCCAGGATCCTCGGGGTCACAGAAGTACTGAGAGCAGGCAGTGAGCCGCTGGTCGAAGACGAAGGCCCGGAACTCCTGGCAAGGCTCGCAGCTGAGCCAGGCCCGAAGGATGACTCCAAACATCTCGGAACCATCACCCATCTTACCTGCACCCATTGCTTGGAGTAGGACTTGAAAAATGATGTCATTTTTTTGTGTTCCTTGTATTGTGCTTAGGTATTCACAAACATGGAAAATGATGTTCAACAAGGACCCAGATTGCGGAGGCTCTTCTCCGCCTCCAAGTCATCAGCGACCCGGTGGCTCGACGCGAGCAGGAGGCACGCCTCCCGCCCGGAATGGACCTTCAGCGGAAGGTCGAAGACGCTGTCTTTCCTTAGTGCTGGTTGGTAGGGAATGGGCGGAGTGAGGTACCCTATGGAATCCCTTAAAGGGTATATAGGGCCCCGAATTCCCTCCTTCCCTGCTAACCAGCAGTAAGCGTCGGGGAGCGGGTGCTCAGCTTCACGAAGAAGCCCTCCCTCCACCGAGGCCTCTCGGCCAGGCAGCCCTCGATGCGCTGGACGATGCTCGCGGGCAGGGTCATGGCGTCGAGCATGTCGCGCTGGGCGCGCGACACGTCGCGGCACAGGGTGCAGAGGGCCCCCAGCTCTCTGTCATCGAGGCCAAGGCAAAGTATGGTATCAGTCTCATCCTCGCCATCACATCTTCCAGAGGTGTCTGGGGTGGCGACAGTGGCAATCGCTTGAGCAAGACGCTCCATGTCATACAGCTGCGTGTAGATGCGGTCCGACAGGAGCCGTACCTGATGGTCGTCGTCGAGCCTCACGTGGCTTTCAAGGCCGTCCCCCTTGTCTCCATGGGCTCTCTTCATCAACCGAAGCAGGACAGCAATGGCCATCCATCGGACGTTGTCCAGCGGGGACGCACACAACAAGGTGAGGTCACGCAACCCGGCCCCTTCGGCGCGCAGAAGGTGGGCAAGAAGTGAGGACTTTCCCTGCTGCTCATCATCCATCGATGCTTGCATCAGGGCACGCATGGCCTTCTCCTGCTTTCTCAAAATCTCCAACTCCAACGTAAGCTTGGGACAGCGCACCATCTCATGCAAAGTCTGCAGCGCCATCTCCAGATCTACCGCACCCAGTGAGCCAGGGGACGTAGCCGCGCCGGCAGACGCTGCCACAAGCCCCAACATGGCACAGCACTCCGGGCATCGGCAGGTCATGTCCCGCTTGCATTTGATCGGCTCCGCTGCCTCTGGCACGGAAGGCGAACCAGCGCCCACCTTAGTTGTCCAGTACCTAGGGGAAGTAAAGGTTAACCTTTGGGATTCTAAGGGGGTCTTATTACCCCAAAAAAGGTTAAAGGTTACCTACTCTACTACTAAGCCACTGTGGCAACGGACGGATCTTGCGCCTCGTCGGGCACAGACTCGCACTGTGAGAGTTCGGCGAGCTTTCTGCCGACACCTCCCAGAAAATGCTCTTTTGGATTCGCCGCGAGCTGAGCTGGAAGGATCTCGAGTAACGCCGCGACGCAGCCGCACAGGAAGCGTGAAGCAGGCAAAAGTGCAGCGAGATCCGTGTCCATTTGGGCGCAAGCACTCTGAGGTCTCTTTTTAAACTCGCACCGTACGTAGTCATGGTCAAGAAGTGGATGGTAAGTATGACAGTACCCATCCAGTCGTTCGTCCGTCTAAACTGGCGGGCGTCAGCCACAAACCAGTCATCAACCCCTATGCCTTAACTCTTAACCCTAAACCCTAAACCGTAAACCCTAAACCCTACAATGCTGCCCCGCCCTCGACTTCAACAAGCAATGAAGTAACGCAGCACCGAGTCGAGTAAAGCCCAGAACCATCCTTTTTCACGACCTTGTAGGTCTGCGGTATTTAGGGTTGGGGGTTTAGGGTTCCGGGTTTCGGGTTTTTTTGTTTAGGTTTGAGGGTTCGGGATTTGGGGTTTACGGTTTGGGGTTTGGGGCTTCCAAGGTTAGGCCCCTAAAGACCTGGACGCACCCAAACACCAACGCCCTAAGCCCCATATACTAGAGTTGCACTTAGCACTATTATGGGAGTGTTTAATGTCAGGGGGTACTTGGAGGTTCATGGGTACTTATGGCCCCAGTCATAAATCTACTTATACCCTACTTAGGGGACTTAGGAGGCTTATAAGTACGCTTATAATTGGGGTTATAAGTACCCCAAAACCCTGAACCCTAAACCCTAAAAAAACCTTGGGGTTATAAGTATCCTGAAGCCCTGAAACCCCCGAACCCGAAGCCGCCCTGGATCGGAATGCCCCGGCTCCTTTCAACCCCCCTTACAGAACCACCCCCCAACCCCCCAAAACAACAAAGTAGTAGTAGTAGTAGTAGTAGTAGTAGTAGTAGTAGTAGTAGTAGTAGTAGTAGTAGTAGTAGTAGTAGTAGTAGTAGTAGTAGTAGTAGTAGTAGTAGTAGTAGTAGTAGTAGTAGTAGTAGTAAGCATTACAATAATCATAATCACAATAGTCACAATAAAAATTATAATAATAATGATAATAATTCTAGTAATAATAATCATAATAATTCTAGTAATGTACCTTAACGCCCTTCACGAAACCTTCAAAACCCCTCCAAAACAGCCCTTTCAGAACTGCCAAATAGGATTGACAACCCCAAACCCTAAACCCTGTACCCTAAACCCTAAAGCCTCCTACCTGTAAAAGAAAGAGACCCAGCCTGCGCCCTCTGCACGCGGCCTTGGCAGGGCAAATGCCGCTGCCGCCAGGCCTTTCTGCATTGCAGGGCTTTGTGGGCTTTAGGGTCCGCGGTTTAGGGTTTAGGGTTTAGGGTTTAGGGTTTAGGGTTTAGGGTTTAGGGCTTAGGGCTTAGGGCTTAGGGCTTAGGGCTTAGGGTTTAGGGTTTAGGGTTCTGGGATTCTTGATTCTTGGGGACTTCGGGATGAGTTGAAGTTTTTCCGGGCTTTGGGGTGCATGGTCTTCGGGTTTGGGGGACGCTTTAGGGTTTCTGGGCGCGGGGGTTTTGGGGTTTTGGGTTTAGGGTTCTTGGGGTTTTAGCATGCGTTAGGGTTCTAGGGGGGCAGGTAGGGTTTCAAGACGCTGTTGGGTTGTACGGGGTTTCGGTGGGTTGCTCTGGTTTCAGGCTGTAGGTAGGGGTCATGGCGAAATTTATCCTAAACCCTAAACCCGTTTGGGCCCTTGTCGGCACGGGGCTCCTTGGGGATATGACCTAGGAGCCTAAAACCTTGTCTTCTGCAGGTCATTCTTGCCATCCCAAAACCGTAAAACCCCAAACCCCAAACCCTAAACCCTAAGCCCTAAGCCTTAAGCCCTAAACCCTAAACCCAAAACCCTAAACCCTAAATCCTAAACCCCTAAAATCCACAAGCCCTAAAACCCTGAACCCTAAAAACCCTAAAGGCCCCGAAGGCGCCTAAACCCCTAACACCCTCAAACGTTTAGGGTGTAGGGTTTAGGGTTCAGGGTTTAGGGTGTAGGGTTTAGGGTTCAGGGTTTACGGTTTAGGGTTTAGGGTTTAGGGTTTAGGGCTTAAGATTTAGGGTTTAGGGCTTAGGGTTTAGGGTTTAGGGTTTAGGGTTTAGGGTTTAGGGTTTAGGGTTTAGGGTTTAGGGTTTAGGGTTTAGGGTTCAGGGTTTAGGGTTTAGGGTTTAGGCTTTAGGGTTTAGGGTTTAGGGTAAGCTCCACAACCGTCCCTTGGCGCCGCCCCAAGCCCCTGCTCACGCCGCGGCCTGCGGCCAGCGGGCCGAAACGAGGCACTTCTCGCAGGGCCGAGGCATAGCGCCTCCCAGGTTCGGCTGTTTCTGTTTTGGGGGGTTTAGGTTTAGGGTTTAGGGTTTCGGGTTTAGGGTTTCGGGTTTCGGGTTTAGGGTTTAGGGTTCTAGGATTTGGCTAGGGTTACACTTGAGGGCTTGGTTTAAGGCTTCTTGAGGGCATTGTAGGGAATTCGGGGCCTTAGGGTTTTGGGGCGGCCGAGGGCTGTAGGACCCTAAGCCCCCGAAGCCCACACCACCACCCTGAACCCTAAACCCTAAACCCTAAACCCTAAACCCATAACCCTAAACCCTAAACCCTGCTGCGTGGCCTCACCCATCGCAGAGCGGCGACCGTGAGCCGGGGCGACATGGCGCCTAGGCCGCGCGCCCTCCGGCGGTTAGATCCAGCGGCTGCGGCGGTCTTGCAGCTGGGAGTTCGGGCTAGGGCTATTTAGGGTTTAGGGTTTCGGGTGCAGGGTTTAGGGTTTAGGGTTTAGGGTTTAGGGTTTAGGGTTTAGGGTTTAGGGTTTAGGGTTTAGGGTTAGGGTTTAGGGTTTAGGGTTTCGGGCTCGAGGTTTGGGGATTTCTGGGCTTAGTTACCCCTTCAGGATTCTTCCGGATCGGCCCCGTCACCTGTGAACTAGAGGGACTAGCAAGATATCCCCTTAAGCGAAGTTCCAAAAACAACCGTCGGAGGGAGAAGCCTCTCTAATCAAGCCAGATGCCATTGATCTTTATCTTGCTGCAGCCACACGGGTGCTACCACCCACTGTAAGCTGCACCAACTTACACAAGGGCATGCTAGGTGGGAGAGAGGGCTGGTGTTCCTGCCTGCACAAACCATCCGCGAGCACCAGTAACGCCATATAATCCCCTATCCGGTGGCTTCAGGCCCGTAAAACCTGTAGAGCCCCAAACCCTAAACCCTAAACCCTGAAGCCCCCATGTTCTTAAAAGAAGCGGCCCCTTGGGGGCGCTCGGCCCCAGAAGCAGCCTCCAGTCGCTGCGTGGCCTTCTTCTGCTCCACCAGGGCCTCTTTTTTCGCAGGGTTTAAGGTTTAGGGTTTAGGGTTTAGGGTTTAGGGTTGAGGGTTGAGGGTTGAGGGTTTAGGGTTTAGGGTTTAGGGTTTAGGGTTTAGGGTTTAGGGTTTAGGGTTTAGGGTTTAGGGTTTAGGGTTTAGGGTTTTTTTTTGGGCTTAGGGTTCAGCATCTCCAGTTCGAGCATTTACTAGGCCAGAAGTGTGTGTAGGCAACGGCACTCTTAGTAGGTTCTCAGTAGACTGATAATTGGGGGTGCAAGTACCCATGAACCTCCAAGTAAGCCTATCTAGGAAGCGGGCCCCTGGCTTCGGGATTTTGAAGCTCCAGCTCCTAACTTAGGGTTTAGGGTAGGATTTAGGGTTTTGGGTTGAGGGTTTAGGGTTTAGGGTATAGTGTTTAGGGTTTAGGGTTTAGGGTGATCAAGAACGAAAGAAAAATTCATGTGTCCAGTGGCCGAGGATTCTTACAGGGCTACCCAAGGGTTCGATAGCAGGGTTTAGGGTTTAGGGTTTAGGGTTTAGGGTTTAGGGTTTAGGGTTTAGGGTTTAGGGTTCAGGGTTTAGGGTTTAGGGTTTAGGGTTTAGGGTTTCTCATACTTGATGCAAGCACTTTGCGGTTCGGGATTCGCTAGGTAAGCCTGGAAGCCTTGCACTCCGCAGTTTTCAAGAACTCTACCTAGTCAGGGCTACGTGGCAGGATCGAGTCAGGGGCCACATGGCAGGAGTCCGGGGAGGGGTAGGGTTTAGGGTTTAGGGTTTAGGGTTTAGGGTTTAGGGTTTAGGGTTTAGGGCTTAGGATTTAGGGTTTAGGGTTTGGGGTTTGGGGTTTGGGGTTTAGGGTTTAGGGTTTAGGGTTTAGGGTTTAGGGTTTAGGGTTTAGGGTTTAGGGTTTGCTTTTTGGTGCTGTAGCTCAGGGTTTAAGTATTAGGGGCTACTTAGGTATAGAGGGTCTACAATAATAAGGTATATGTAGGGTTTAGGGTTTAGGGTTTACTATTTCGGAGCACCGACATGTCAAAAGAGTCGGATCTGCCCCTGTTGCGGACTTCGTGGCCTCTTGGTGTTGCGGCTTTTGACTATATTATAAATTATGTATTGTATATTATATGTTTGTATATTGTATACTAAATATTATATATTATATATTACATTTTATATATTATATGTTATATATTATATATTACATATTATATATGACATATTCTATATTATATATCATATATTATTTATATATTATATATTACATATTACATATTACATATTACATATTACATATTACATGTTACATATTACATATTACATATTACATATTATATATTATTTATTATATATTATATATTATATATTATATATTATATATTATATATTATGTATTATGTATCATATATTATATATTATATGTTATATATTACATAGAGTATAGATTATATATTCTATATTAGATACTATATAATTTATATATTGTTCTTTGACTTTGCCGCCTGAATTCTTCTTGCGTTCAACTTTGTTCCTAGCAAATCTCTGCAGTCTAGGAGGTCTACGAGTCGTTTCGCAGCAGAACCCTAAAACGACAGATCCTTCGGATCGTGGGGTCTGCAGGTGAGAGTGCTGCCGCATGTAGCTCTAGTGCTGACAGGTCTTGTCAAAAATATTGCGAGATCAAACCATGTGAGACGCCAGGTGTGCCAGAACTGCCGAGTGTTTCGTAGCCAGTGGTCTGGCGCTTGATGCAGCGACATGAGAGTGGGTTGCTGCCGTTTTGTGTGTCACCCGCAAAAAGCCACAGGTTGTGCGCCACAAGGGCGGCAAGTACAAGCAGGAAAATAATCAGCTGTGTAGGCGAGTAGTCCTGCACTACACCAACAAGTGCGGCACACGCGAAACCTGCCCAGGTGTAGCTATAGCAGAAGGCCATGGGACAGAGCAGAGCAGCACAAAAGTGCACTGAACCATCACCATACGACATTGCACATCTGACCAGCCGAAGCAAGACTGGGTATGCCAATGGGAGCGCAAGCACGATGAGGATTACCCATCCAAGTGAGGAGGTTATCATGTACGTAGTCAAGGAGGTGTAACCAGCTGCTGGACCAGACGTCTCACAGGGCCCATTGTCACAGCCTAACACGTTCACGGAGGCGTAGAAGACCATGGGGAGAAGAGCCATCAAACAGGTCCGCCTCGACACATAGAGCTCGTCCCCAATCTGTGATAGCACAAAGGAGCGTAAGGTCCCCCTGACATAGGCATTGAAGCGGCCGAGCGGATCATCGGCGCCCACGAGCGTGGGAAGGAGAACCTGTCAACTTTGGGGGTTTAGGGTTCAGGGTTTAGGGTTTAGGGTTTAGGGTTCAGGGTTTAGGGTTTAGGGTTTAGGGTTTAGGGTTTAGGGTTTAGGGTTCAGGGTTTAGGGTTTAGGGGTTCAGGGTTTAGGGTGCAATGGGGACTTTTGATTGTAACAAACGGATGATGCATTTAACTGCTTGCAACTAGATACAACAAGAGTGACAGCCTCGACCCAATGACGTAGATGACCGCACATCGAATCGCACATATTTTGAAGACACCAATCTCATCACGCTTGTTTGGGCACAAGTGGGGGTTTTTGGGGCTTAGGGTTTAGGGGACGCGGGGAAGGCAGTGACGTGCAAATTGTTAGTCCGCAAGGAATGGGATTGGCATCGGAGACCACTGAGGTCGCGGGAATACACAGCACGCCGCACGAATGCCCGTAGCATGCATGAAGGTACATGAAAATTCGCACCCAGCGCCAAAACGACAAATCAACGTTCACGAGTGTTCAACTCGCAGTGGCTGGCCGAATGTTTCTGAGTTCCGCGTTCCCAACCTTTACCGTCCAAACACGAGCCCTAGCTGGCAGCGAGTACTGATCTTCGGCTAGACCATGCTCTCACCCAGCTGTGCAAGAACTTTCCAAAGCAAGAAAATCATGCAAAGAGCTTGTCAACAGACCTGCCTCGCCATCGTCAACTTCACCAACCATCTGTGGACACCCCCGCTGCGTCGCATCGTTCTTGAACAAGTCTTCCACATGCTGCTCGATTGCTTCTACATCGGACGGCAGAGTACACTTGGCTGCCCTGACATCAAAGTTAGCCATCTGTCTTAGCATCAGCTGGTGGTTTTGTAGCTTCATCCGGAACGAGACGAAGCTGGGAAGGGCGAGGGGTGCATACACCAGACCTGAGATCATCAACGAGAGAGAGACAGCTACGAATTTCAGAACTGCAGCATTTCTTCCCAGCACCGGCTCTTCCTCCTCCATCGCTTGATCTATGCTCGTTCGGGGCAATGCACGATCCAGAAGATCGTAAATCGTGAGGCTCACCACCTCCATGAGGATTGAGTTCAGCAGCCACGGAGCCAACCAAAGCGGAAGCACATCGATCTGCTCCGTCCCGACATGTCGTGCGAAAGTTGCCAGCTCCAAAGAGCACCACTTGCGGTCAAAGTACGTCTCATCCCAGAGAATAAGCATGCGAGAGGAATGCATCACAAAAACCGGAAGGGCTGCTATCTGTTCTGCCTTCCGATCCATGTCTGTTTGATGGATGCAGAGTCTGTCCACCCAGACTGAATAAGATTGACGCCCCTCAAACAGCTGCTGTCTGAAAAAGAACACAAGAAAGAACACCGCAATGGGAAAGTACACCAGGCAGGGCAGTATGAGGTAGCTGCCACCCAGGCCCGTGACGCCGCCCCATCCAACCAGCGTAGCTGCCAAAACGAACCAGGCACCACAGGCGCATCGGATTGCCGCCTCCAAGTTGAAGAACCTCAGAAAATCTCATCCGTAGCTTGCACTCGAGCTTAAGCACTCTCTACTGCGCTGCTGACTGCTCAAGCAACTGCATGTCAACTCTCCTTCCTGGCTCGCGCTTGAAGCGCGCGGGCCCATGAAGCAAAAAGAGCTGAACAAATCTCCTTCCCGAGATGTGTTAACTCTATCGCTCCTCTGTCTTTTTCAAAACGGATCAAGTTGGAGGTTGAAACAAAAGGAACCTGCCATTCACCTAAATAAAGCCCAAGTAGTAGGATTCCGAGCATGAGAAATTCCCACAAAACATGATCAAACGGTCGGACTGATCTGAAGGACGCTCGAAACGAAAAGATCAAGCACTCCCGTCGAAACCGGAGTGTCGCGGCGGTGTCGTGATGCTCTTTGCTGGACATGAAGCGTAAGCTGAGCAACCGTAAACTGGGCCCCATCTTTAGCTAGAACATGGGGCCTTCGTATAGAGACGCCAAGTACTGACTTAATAAGAACATGTCTACAAAGACCCTAGAAACGGAAGCCTCAACTCCACAACCCGGAATCCTAAATGGGAGCTTCTGGTTTCCGAGGCCGTGTCGCAAGCAGAGGGCCAGAAACTTTGACCAACGAGAGGCGCGCCAGGAGTGACCAACAAATACATCCTGGGCTCTTGGCAAGCTTTGCAAGGGTTTAGGGTTTAGGGTTTAGGGTTTAGGGCTTAGGGCTTAGGGTTTAGGGTTTCCAATGGTTTTGTTGGACTTCATGGGGGCTTCTGGAGGTTTGGGTTTGAAAGGGTTCTATAGGTCTTTCTAAGGCTTTCCAGGCGTTTCACAACATGGGTTTCGGGCCCCTGTTCTTGGAGGCCATGTCCAAATTTACCCCTCCGGTTCCGTCTCAAGAAGGATTATGAAAAATCGACCACGCCAGAAGTAGGAAACCCTAAACCCTAAACCCTAAACACTTTCAAGGCGGCCTGGCGTCGACATGATCTGTCTCTGAAGAAGCTTGGAAAAGGGCTTCCCCTGCATGTTGAACCTGGTCCATCGTTGGGAATCGCGTGTTGCTGCTGCCGCCAGCTATGAGAAGCGCATCGAGAGCATCTCTGAAGATAATGCCGAAACCTGTCTGGGGTGCGGATCATGAGCATCTTGGGGTTCAGGGTTTAGGGTTTGGGGCTTAGGGTTTAGGGTTCAGCATCTCAAGTCCAAGCATTCACTAGTCAAGAAATTACTCCAGAAAAATGCCCACCCGCCCAAAGAATCCCACAACATTAAGAAAATATTTCACTTATGGAACGACCTTGCCCAGTAAAAAATGACCTTGCCCAGTAAAAAAAATGACCTTGCCCAGTAAACTAATGACCTTGCCCAGGAAAAAATAACCTTGCCCAATAAAAAAAAACTTGCCCAGTAGAAGAAGTGACCTTGCCCAGTAAAAAAAAAAAAAAAGACCTTGCCCAGTAAAAAAATGACCTTGCCCAGAAACAAAAAAACCTTGTCCAGAAAAAAATGACCTTGCCCAGTAAAAAATCACCTTGCCCAGTATAAAAAAAAAAAAAAAAAAAAACCTTGCCAGCAAAAAATGACCTTGCCCAGCAAAAAAAAATGACCTTGCCCAGTAAAAACATGACCTTGCCCAGTAACTCCATTAACATTTAAATTATATATTAAAGAGAGGTTTAGGGTTTAGGGTTTAGGGTTTCGGGTTTAGGGTTTAGGGTTTTGGGCTTAGGGTTTAGGGCTTAGGGTTTAGGGTTTGAAAGCATTCCCGGGAACAAGGCCAAGGCACCCGCCAAGACCTGTCTGGCTGAAGCTTTGCGAAAGTGCCCCGACTTGCAAATCTGCTCGTAGCTGCTGGCTCTCCGAAGGGAAAGCGAGGCTGACGGCGATTCCGGCATGAAAGGAACTCCGCATACAGCTGAAGAAGGGAAACCTTGTAGGTCATCTGTTTAGGGTTTAGGGCTTAGGGCTTAGGGTTTAGGGTTTAGGGTTTAGGGTTTAGGGTTTAGGGTTTAGGGTTTTAGGGTTTAGGGTTTAGGGTTTAGGGTTTAGGGACCTGAGCTTCAGGTTTGTACATGTTGCGTCCTTGCTCTTGAGCAAACTTCTGCACTTTGCTGGCACACTGAGGACATCTGCCTAAACGGCTCAGCCTGCGTGCATTTTTTGGAATCTGTATATTTGGAAATCAGCGTTGTTTGGGGAAATTAAACTCAAGAGGGCTGGAGGCTCATCAGGTTTTGCTTTGCGGTTTAAGGCCTCTTCTTCGGGGACATATGGTTCGACACTGGGCTTACCAGTGTGTTTGGGTGCAGAATTCAGAACTTGCGCAAGCCATCTTCGACAACATCGAGAAACTTCACCCACCCATACCCAGCCACCCTAAACCCTAAACCCTAAACCCTAAACCCTAAACCCTAAACCCTAAACCCTAAACCCCATACCCAGCCAGAAAGGCCTCGACGAAGTGCTCCAAAACGCTGAGGGTCACGGCACCTGCAGCGGCTGGCGCTGGAGGTTTAGGGTTTAGGGTTTCAAGGTTTCAGTCAGGGGTTTTAGGGGCTAAACCCTAAACCCTAACCCCTAACCCGTCAACCCCAAACTGTAAACTGCAAACCCTAAACCCTAAACCCTAAACCCTAAACCCTAATCGGAGCTGCTTCGGGTAGGGTCGGGCCCCGGCCTCCTATGATCAGCGCGCCGGAGGCGTCGAACTCAAGCTTCTGGAGCCTTAGGGGGGTTTGGGGTTCAGGGTTTAGGGTTTAGGCTTTAGGGTTTAGGGTTTAGGGTTTAGGGTGTAGGGTTTAGGGTTTAGGGTTTAGGGTTCAGGGCTTAGGGTTTAGGGTTTAGGGTTTAGGGTTTCGGTTTAAGGGTTCAGGGTTTAGGGCTCAGGGTTTAGGGTGCCTTTAATGGTGAGAATTCAAGCCATGCTCTCCGAAACAGTGGCCCTGGTAGCCCAGTAGCCATCTTAAAATGAGGGCACAGATACCCCCCTTTCGAAATGTCGAAAAAAGTTGTTGAAGGTAGCGAATTCCCCCCGGATATCTTTGCTGCAATTTGGCTACTTTTTGTAACTCCTTTTTTGGCTGGTTACTGTTATAAGAGAAGCCCAGAACCAAAAAAAGGGTAAAGGGTACCACTGGGCTACCAAGAACAGTCGTGCGAGCCCGAAATTTGCCCACCAACTGCGGCCGAAGAATAGGGTCTGGCACTTGATTCTGCCGTAGCATGAGCTTGGTACAGAACCCTAAACCCTAAACCCTAAACCCTGAACCCTAAACCCTAAGCCCCAAACCATGCCAACCTTCAAACTCTCCTTACACGGGGGGTTTACGATTTTTTGGGGGTACCTCATTCGGGTCCTTATTATAAGGGGATCCTACTACTTGGGGGTCTTGGGGGTCCCCTATTTTCGTACACCCCCACATGAAGGTGTTGGGTAAACCCAAAACCCGAAATCCAGATGCATGCTCTAGTGACAGTCACAAGCCACGACGGCGCAAACCCTGACCCCCCCAAACTCCCCCAACACCCCTGAACACATTTAAACCCCCTAGAGCCCCTAGACCCCATAAACCCCCTAAACCCCGTAAACCCCCTAAACCCCGTAAACCCCCTAAAACCCTAAACCACCTAAACTCTACACTGCAACCTTAAACCCCTTAAAACCAACCCTACAGCAACCTCAAACCAAACGTAGCCCTAAATCCTGAAAACCCTGAAAACCCTGAAACCCTAAAAACCCTGAAAACCCCTGAAAACCCTGAAAACCCCGAAAACCCTGAGAACCCTAACAACCCTAAAAACCTAAACCCTAAGCCCTGCAAAACGGAAGGGAGGAGCTCCTAGACTGCCCCAAAGCAAGCCCTGAGCCCCATAAACACCTTCAGCCTTGAAGGTTTCTTGGGGGGGTAAGGGTCCAGATCGTCCAAAACCCTTTAAGGAGTCTACCCTAGTTTATGCTAAGGATCCTTCTTTACGAATGAGGGTATATTCCGTAGTTAGGGGGTTTTGGAAGATCTGGGGGTGTAGGGTTGATGGCTTAGGGTTTCGGGTTTTGGGGTTTTGGCTTGGTTTAGGGTTTAGGGTTTAGGGGTGCTAGGGGCCTTTGGGGGTGTTAGGGGTCTTAGGGGTGGTAGGGGTGTTCAGGGGTGTTAGAGGAGTTAGGGGGTCCCTAAACCCTAAACCCTGAACCCTAAACCCTAAACCCTAAAACCCTAAACCCTAAACCCTAAACCCTAAACCGTTTAGGCGTTTTGGGGCTTTTGGGTTTGGGCCGCTCTGCGGTGTGGCCGAAGTGCTCTGCCACGGATGAGGTCGAAATCATGGTCGGAAACTCGCAGTGCTTGAACCTCGTCTCGGGGTCTAGGGTTTAGGGTTTAGGGTTTAGGGTTTAGGGTTTAGGGTTTAGGGTCTAGGGTCTAGGGTCTAGGGCTGAGGGCGGATGACATCGGAAAAAGAGAGTTGGCTGGTGAGCTCTATGAATTTCAGATAGGCTACAAGCAAGAGCCGCAATGTAGAGGTGGACAAAAGGTCAGAAGCAGAGAGTGTGCTACCCCAAAGAAACAAGAAGTTACTTTCCGTTCGATGGCGGCAGGCCCCTGGGCCTCGGGTTTAGGGTTTAGGGTTTAGGGTTTAGGGTTTAGGTTTTAGGGTTTAGGGTTTAGGTTTTAGGGTTTAGGGTTTAGGGTTTAGGGTTTAGGGTTTAGGGTTTAGGGTTTAGGGTTTAGGGTTTAGGGTTTAGGGTTTAGGGTTTAGGGTTTAGGGTTTAGGGTCCCTAAACCCCAAACCCTGCAAAAACATACAGAGGCTGCACGTCAACCCCCCCCCCCCCCCCCGAGCCACCAAGTCACTGCGAGAGGACGGATTTTCCGCAGAGGGCTTAGGGTTTTTTGTAGGGCTTAGGCTGTTTTAGGGCTTAAATCTCAGAGCTTGGAGCTTCCAGTATGGCGTGTAGGGGCTCCTGTACCGACCGTCGGGAGAGGAGGGGGGGGTGTTTCAGAACCTTCAGGGCGTAAGCTCTACAAACCCTAAGTTACTAAACCCGAAACCCCAGGGTTTAGGGCTTAGGGCTTCGGGTTTCCGCGTGTTCGGGTTTTTAGGGGGTTTTAGGGTTTTTTAAGGGGCCGAAGCTGACATCCCTTCAAATCCCAAAGGATGAAAGCCGCCAAAGCAGCTTCGTCTCGATGCCAACCTCCGTGTTCCCGGCCACCATCTTCGATTTGGGCTCTGCCTCACACGAGCAAAAATGTGGCGGGGAGAAGCTGGGGTTTGGGGTTTAGGGTTTGGGGTTTAGGGTTTAGGGTTTGGGGTTTGGGCTTAGGGCTTAGGGTTTAGGAGTTAGGGTTTAGGGTTTAGGGTTTAGGGTTGAGGGTTTAGGGTTTAGGGTTTAGGGTTTAGGGTTTAGGGTTTAGGGTTTAGGGTTTAGGGTTTAGGGTTTAGGATGAGGCGGGTCTAGAGTTCAGGGTTGAGGGATGCGGGGTCTCTTGAGAAGGTTGCAACTGGAGCTTAAGGGGCTCGGATGCACGCGGACCTCACCCGCCATCCAGAAAGTTGACCCCTAGCTGTCCCGGAACCCTCAGGCCCGCGAATGGAAACCTTTCCCAGAGTCGACTCTAAACCCTACACCCGTACACCCTAAACCCTAAACCCTAAACCCTAAACCCTAAACCCTAAACCCTAAACCCCTAAAGCCTGAACCCTAAGCGCTTTGCCGACTCAACCCGATGAAGTCGAGCCGTGCCTTCTTGAGCATGAGAAGCGTCGCCAAATCCTCTCACGAACTTAGGGTGTAGGGTTGAGGGTTCAGGGTTCAGGGTGTGAGAATCTAGCCCAACAGGTGCTTGACACGCGAGCTTCTTTCAGAGTGTTAGGGTGTTTGGGCGTGGGGTTTAGGGTTCGGGGTTGGAGATGCTACTAAAGTTGAGAGTCTTGGGCTTTAAAGCAGAGCCTCTTGTGGTCCAAGGCTTCGGCTCTTCAAATCCCTCTCTTCTTCTGTGCTTGGGGTTCCATGGGTTCCTTAAGGAACTTTAGGACCCTAGACCCCAA